TAGACTTCAATCTTATTTGAGCCACTGTTACCTTGAGGTTTCCATCACTTGCAGTCACACCCAGTCCTAACAAATATAAGAGTGATTTTAATGTTCATTTGTGTTTTGTAATTCCCAATATTTCAACAATAAATATATCCCATTTATAACCAGAAAAAAAAAAGTTATTTGTAAGAAAAATAAATCTTTCCATCAGGCCCTTTCCCTCAACCAGGAATATGATTATGTTGACCAGATCTTCCAGATTTTCCCAGTATTCCAATTTCAGACATTCTGGCTGATTGCCTGTGAAGTTATCAGATCATAGTTTCTGAAGGTAATTTGGAGATAGAGTGAGTATGATGATAATTCTCAACTGTGAGGAGGGAGGCTGACCAAAATATTTGTGCCTTTCTCCTCCTGTTCCAAAGAATCTCCTTTATGCCATCGGATCACTTCCTTTTCCTGAAAGGCTTTGACTCAACACTGCGGCATGTGAATACACTACTGTTTTTATCCTTCTCTGATTGTTTTGGTGGATAAGTCATGTCTCTATGCAACCTGAGAACAAGTGCTATTGTCATGGACACCTGTTGTTTTTGTCTGCCCTGCACCCCCTTTCCTCTGGGAACTGTCCCTCCTTATGTCATTCAGGTGGAACTGTCAATCTCAGAGGCTCCTAGCCACAGGGATGGCACACCACCCAGGTCTGGGCAGTCACCCCAATTCGACACTGTCTGTACAAAGTCATTTAGTCCTTCCCTGTGATTTGCTATACGGACCTCAGAGGAAAGCGTGTTTCTCGCCTTTAGATCATCTGCTATCAGAAGACTGGCTTGGGATTCTTGGTGGCCAGCTTTCCTGTTTTGTGGAGGAAGCTTGTCTGTAGGAGAAAGTCAGGCAACTGCTCCAAAAGAAGTAGAAGTGAAGAGAGGCAAGTCCTGGAGTGAGAGAGAAAGGGCAAATGAGTTATGACCTAGTCAGACTTGAAGGTAGAGCTACCCTTGCTTAGACTTCTCAACAAATCCCCTTTTGGCTTAACTTTTTGAGTTGCTAGAGATTTGACGAAGTTTCTCTTTTTTCCTCCAGGGAGGCCAGCCCTCTTCTCAGGCATTATTTGATTGATTCTACTAGACTGGAAGCTGATCTTGGTCTAAGTGTAGATTTGTATTTTAGTGGAATCTGGCTCTGTTCTTGAAATTCTCTGCCACTTGAACTAGTCAGTTGCTAGGAATTTGGAGGAAAATTCTAATGACAAACACAGGTAATGGTACCAGGGCATGTGATTACGAAAAAAAAAAAAATACCACCCTATTGTTATCAGGACTGCGTGTTAATAGCTGGTCTTTTAGTATGTAACAAATATTTGTTCAGCATCTTTTCATACTGAGCACCATATTTCATATTGGGAAAAACCCCCTGTACTAGGAGAAACTCAATAATAAAATAGCATCATCCTTTAAACTTAGAGGATTTTGCCTTTTAGTTAAAAATTTTCATATTCTTTATCTCTTGGTCTCTAAGGAGCCCTAATTAGTGAGCTGGTTCTTATCAAGAGATTCATTATATCACAATTGATAAGTTCATCTTAAGTGAGAATAGTACCAAGTACATAGATAGACAAAACAATAGTCTGTGGTTCTGAAAAAAGAAAAATGTGGAGACTAATGCCCACTAGCCAGCTATCCTCTCATGTTATGTTATACTGTTTAAAAGTTGCAGCTTGGAAGTCAGATGGATCTCATTTTAGATCATAGGTCTGCCCCTCCCAAGCTGGGTGATCATAAAGTGATTCTAATGTACTTAATAAAGATCTGGTTGTATTTTTAATTTTTTTTTATTTAAATTCAATTTGGTTAACGTATAGTGTATTATTAGTTTCAGAGGTAGAATTTGGTGATTCAGGACACCTGGGTGGCTCTGTGGTTGAACATCTATCTTTGGCTCAGGTTGTGATCTCAGAGTCCTGGGATCAAATCCCGCATCAGTCTCACCACACAGGGAGCCTGCTTCTCCCTCAGCCTATGTCTCTGCCTCTCTCTCTCTTTGTCTTTCATGAATAAATAAATAAATAATTTTTTAAATAAAAAGAATTTACTGATTCATTAGTTGCATGTAACACCCAGTGTTCATTACATCAAGTGCCTTCTTTAATGTCCATCACCCAGTTACCCCATTCCCCCACCAACCTCCCCTCCAACAACCCTTAGTTTGTTTTCTATGATTAAGAGTCTCTTATGGTTTGCCTCCCTCTCTGTTTTCATCTTATTTTATTTTTCCTTCCCTTCTCCTCTGTTCATCTGTTTTTTTTTCCCCTTAAATTCCACATATGAGTAAAATCATATGGTATTGGTCTTTCTCTGACTGAATTATCTTGCTAGTTCCATGATACCCTCTAGTTCCATCCACGTTGTTGCAAATGGCAAGATTTCATTATTTTTATGGCTGAATAATATTCCATTGTATATATTCACCACCTCTTCTTTATCCATTCATCTGTTGATGGGCATCTAGCCTCTTTTCATAGTTTGGTTATTGTAGACATGGCTGCTATAAATGACGGGGGTGCAGGTGCTCCTTTGAATCACTATTTTTGTATCCTTTGGATAAATACCCAGTAGTGCAATTGCTGAGTCATAGAGTGGTTCTATTTTTAACTTTTTAAGGAACCTCCATACTGTTTTCCAGAGTGGCTGCACCAGTTTGGGAAGTTTGCATTCCCACCAACAGTGTAGGAAGGTTCCCCTTTCTCTGCATCCTCACCAATGTCTATTTCCTGAGTTTTTAATTTTAGCCATTTTGACCAGTGTAAAGTGGTATCTTGTGGTTTTGATTTGTATTTCAAACTGGTTGTATTTTAAAGACCAGATAATCCAGATAAAAAATAATACCAGCTTTTATTTCTAGAACTCCTCTCTTTCAAGAATGAATGAATTATTGTAACTACCTGAGAGCATTTCAGAACAGCAACAGACCTTGCATGAGGCTACATCCCAGTCAGGAAGCCTGGGCCCTCCACCCAAGTAGCTTCCTCCCACCCATGGTACATAAGTGACACTCACTGACTGACCTGCAGACAGAGGCTGCCAGTGGCTTCTAGAGGCCCAAGGCTTACTCTCCCATCTGGCTCCCCTCTTCCCCTAAAGTAATTTCTATCCCTGGTTTGATGCCCATGGCTCACAACATCCTTAAAAACAGAGTCATTGTCTAGCTTCAGAGGGTAGTTTGATTAACTGGTTCCTAACCAGAGTAGAAAAAGAAACGGTGGGGGGACTTTTCAAGTGTGCCATCCACATTGTGCAGAATGCCATGGGTAGGAAGTACTAAGTTGACCATTGAGATCAGAAAATTCTTTCCAATCTCAGCTAACTTCATTTATTAGGGCTTGTGTATTAAGCATTACAGTGCCTTCCCCTGATTAAACATTCACATTGTGCCAGAGACTATATATTACATCTAAGACTTCAGAGACTACAGTGGAGGAAGCCAAGACTTGGAAGGGTTAAGGGACATGTCTAGTCATACAGCTAGTGGGTGCAGAGCTTAGGTTTGTCTGTCTCCGGAGACCTCCCAGGACGTCCTAATACCACACCATCCACACCCTTTCTGTTAGAGTGGCAGGAGTGGCCTTTAGGGGGTCACACAAGGGCTTCCAACAATCTCTGAGGCCTTTGGGTTCTTAGGGATCTAAGTTCTGTGTCCCTACTCTGTCACATGAGTAAGGAGCCAGTGGATGAGACTGGAGTGGGTGCTGAGAAATCTGAGTAGCAGGCCTCTGAGAGCTGTACCCCAGCCTTGCTGGGATGCCCAGCACACACCTCTGGGTGCTGGGGGCTGGATATGGAAGAGCCCTGCTGGGTTCTGGATCTGCCTGCCAGCTCCTAACCCCCTGAAGGGAAGACTGCAAGGAAAACTCCCAGGGTTTACAGGCCGTAGCCTGGGGTAGATGGCTCCGTAGAGCCCAGTGGCCAGTTGCACCCCGTGGGAAAGCCTTGGCCCTGGCCTGCCTGGGAGCCACGGTGGTGCCGCCTCCTGCCCACGGCTTGGCTCAACTTGGTTCAGCGGGTTCCCAAGTGGCTTGACTTCCTCCCCTATACCTCCCCCCACCCTGCAGTCTCCAGGGAGCCAGGGAGGCCACTAGCAGAGTTGGCTCTCAGGTCCCCAGGCCTCCCCAAGCCCTTGCTCCACACACCTGGGAGCCAGGTTTCCCCCAGGGAGCAGGAGGGGAGCCTCTAACCCCCCTGAGAGTACTCCTGCCCCTAGGTCTGTTTAAGACTGGCAGGCCCCATCCCCAGTCCTTCCGCTGTGCACTGAGGCTCCACTCTGGGCTGCAATAACAGGGCTTGGGGTATGGGCTGTTGTTTTTGCAGCTGGGCTGGGGCGGAGCGGCAGCGGGAAGGCGGCATGGGTACTGACTGTCTGAGAAAGCCCCGAGCCCGCATTCCCACTAGAGCTGGGACAGCCTCTTCAGGCTAGTGACTGCTGTGCCTGCGTGGAGAGGCCCCTAAGCACTGCTGGAGGAGTGTGGGGGAAGGCAGAGAGAGAAGCCGGCCAGTAGAACAAGAGCTTGGGGCGACCCCAAGCCTTCTCTGAGCCAGCCCTCCCCCAGCAGGCTGTGCTCCCCTCATTTCTAGCTGCAGCTGGACCTAACCTCTCCCCTACCCCACCCCCGCACATCTGGGAGATGCTGAAGCAAGCTTCCTTAAAACAAACAACAAACAAAACAAAATATCTCATTTACTAGGGGCAAATGTTAGAAACTAAAAAGAGTAAAGGTCACCCATAATCCTTTCCCTCAAAAATACCCATCAAGAACATTTGATGTGTTTCCCTATGACCTCTTTTTTTATTGTGATAAAATGTACATAACATAAAATTTAACATTTTAATCATTTTTAAGTATACAGTTCAGTGGCGTTAAGTACATTCACAATCTTGTGCAACCATCACCATCTCCAGAACTTTTTATCTTCCTAAACTGAAACTGTGCCCATTAAGAAATAACTCTCTGTTACTTCCAGGCGCCGGCTGGCAAGTACCTCTCTACCTCCTATCTCTACGTGTTTGACCATTTTCTAGGTACGTCAGGTAAGTGGAACTGTACAATCTTTGTACTTTTGTCTCTAGCATATTTCACTTAGCAAAATGTCTTCAAGATTCATCCGTGTTATAGGATGTGTCAGAATCAGAATTCATTCCTTTTTAAGGCAGGTTAGTATATACCCACACACACCTCACATATTATTTATGTACTCATAACATTTTTTCATGTAATTAAGCTTATACTTCGTCAGCAGTTAGAGATCCTGATTTTTTTACTCCGACGTTGCCACGTCATTAAAAATTTCCCCTAGAAATAGTCTTAGTGCTAGGACTACTCTAGCTTACTCTTTAATTCTTAGTGCTTACACTTTAATTCCTTATGTACATAGATACAGCATAATAGATTTAACCAGTCTCCTGCCATTGGCTACTGAAGTATCTTCTTTGTTTTATTGTTTGTTTCTTCTTATAAAAAAAAACAAGAAGAACATCTCAGTAGACATTTTTATGGGCCCTCCCTGCTGCCCTGTCATTTTCACATTAGTTCCCAAGGGAGAGTACCAGAAGTAGAATTTGCTCACCAAGGTGTAAACACTCCTCAGTCATCTTGATAACTATCACCTCAGACTTGCCAGAAAAATTATGCCTGTTGCTCCTCCCACAAACTATGTAGGAGATCCAGATGCTTTTCCTTCCTTTACCACACATTTGGCAAATTTCAGAGGACTCATGTCCCTGGTGCTGAGAAGCCAGGTACCTCTTGCTATGCCTTCTCTTTTCCTGGAGAAAGGTGAAGACTTCCACAAATAGGGTTTCAAGATACCCAACCATCTTCAGATGCTTTCTGAGATTGCTCTGCCCTGGAAGGCTGGCCAGTCCAGTTGAGGTGATAAGTTTTTGATGTCCCTAGGGTAGAGTGGCCCAGAAGAGAGCCAGCCTGGGCCTGCAGCCTCCTCAGGGAGATGGCTGTGCAGAACTAGCCTGGGAGCAAAGAAGCAACTAGCAGAGTAGGGGTACAGAGTCTCTATCCTGCGTGTGGCCTAGGCTTAGTCCAGGACAATTCTGTGGACTCCCTAGTGACTGCTCCGCCAACCCCATGCAGATAGATAGCTATATAAATGGTAGCCATTTATTGAGGGCTTACTATAGGCTAGCTCCAAAGGCTCTGGTAAGGCTCTAGTAAGGCTGGGTTCCTCTCACAGACCCTAGCTGTAGGTTTTTGTCACCACTTTGCTAACTAGGCAACTAAGTTCCACAGCCATTTGGGACCTTGTTCAAGGCACACAGCTGTGTGTAGTAGAGCTAGGATTTGTACTCAGACATCTCGAACTCTAGGCTCTTCTGATTTCCTGGTTCTCCTTATAGGGGCTATGCTGGCACCCCAAGACTGGGGAGGAGAGGAAAGAACTGTGGATCGGTGATGGATGGTCTATGGGGTGGAATTTGGCTCTGCCCTCTCTGCTGGGCCTTGCCAAATCCTAGGCCAGAGACCCCTGGCCACTGGGAATGAGGAGTGCTTCATGCCCCAAGGGGACCTGGCTCAGGCAGGGACAGGGGCAACTGGGGAGGGGGTTACTAGAGACTTCACTGCACACAAAGAGCCTGATTGTGTCGCAGACTCTGCTCTTTGGAAAAATAAGTATCATGAAGTTGTCTTGTTTTGGACAATCTGGTGTCCCAGAGATCCAAGCCAAAGAAAACATGAACTGAGAAGCAGGAGCCAGCAATGCTGAAGCCTACAGGTGAAGCCCGTGCTTCCGGGTTTGAGGACGGGAGCTCCCGTGGGTTCCCAAGCTGGAACCAGGGTGCCTATGTCCAGAGCAACCTCTTTTCCCTGGGGTCCAGGCAAAGGACAGACCTTGGGCTGGGGAAATTTTTCCACAGACAGATGGGAGGAGGAAATCAGGGGAGATCAGAGCTCCCTGTGGAACCTCAGCCTGGGGGGGGGGGGCGCCACCAGAAGCGCCTCACCACATCCAGGAAACACTGGGAAGCTCAGAGATCTACAAATTTTGTGGGCTCCATGCCCAAGCCTAAGGAACATGCACTGAGATGAGCCAGGTTGGGGGCTGGCCAGGCCTCTGGTATCAGAGCACCCTACAAGGCAAGGGAAGGCAGCTTAGTGGGAACCCAGGCCAGGAGGGGTGATCTTTTTTTTCCGGAACAGGATTCCCTGTGGGGTACAGAACAGAAGTCTGTGGGCTGCAGAGTCTGGGACGTGCCTGTTGGACTGGGCTGGGGTCAAGAGGGCGGCCCACTGGCCTGGCCTCATCAGCCAAAGCCAACACAGGAAATGCCAAGCAGACCTCAACGTCCGGGCACCTAATTTGCTCTGGCTGGCAGGGAGCGCCTCCTCCCCAGCTCTACTGGGGGCAGCCCTGGCGGCAGGGAGGGAGCAGTGGCCTCCATGCGCAGGGGAGGCTCAGCCCCCTGGCCAGAGGAGCCGGGCAAACACTCAGCAGGCAGCACAAGGAGCCAGGCGTTACCCTGGACGGCGGCCACCGGGTTGTTGCTGGGATCCAGTTTCCCGCTCACGCTCCTCCGCTCCTCTGAGAGGAGAGATGCAAGGGGTCAGCCCCTCCACCAAGCCCCAGGAAGGAGCCTGGTGGACAGACGGTTGTTAACGCCACCGCCGCCAGGGTGATTAGGCCGCTGTGAAGGGCTTCTCAGCCGGGTGGGGTCCGGCCTGCCAGGCAGGCCACTGGGGCCACCGTGACCGGCTGGGAGCAGAGGAGCCAGGGAGGGAACAGTGTATGTTGCAGCCGCTCGTGCTGATCCGATTAGTTGGTGAATTGACACTCCTTAATGATTTCCTTTCTGCGGCCCAGCCAGAGCCAGAACTGTGGGGTGGCCTGCATGGTAAACAGAGAGGAGACTTTGGGCCTTCCCAGGCTCCTTTTAAGCTGGCCACCAGCTGGGGCTGGGGCAGAGGGTCTTCATACTGGGTGCCAGCTCTGCTGGGAACCACCCTATGGCCCCTCAGGGACTGATGAGCCACCCTGTGTGCAGGGATGGGCTCCTCTCTTGCCATTTGGGGACTCTCTTCCCCATTTGCCCACTGGTGCCTAGGACAGTGGAGCCGGGCAGGTGCCATCTATTCTCCCAGGCTCAGCTGGAGCCTGGTACAGAGTAGGTTTGCCAAGGATATTGACAACATGAGTGGATCAGCAAATGGATCCATCTCCTCCAATTGGCCTGATTGCTTTGTGGGAGAATCTCTGTGATCCCCTTCAAGGCCTGGGTGGTCCTTGTGGGAACATTTTTCCAGACAGTCTCGTGAATGGAGAGCTCTCCCAAGGCCATCTGGTCCATTCCCCTGCTTCTAAGGGCAGCATCTCCTAAACCATCTCTAACGGGCAGCTTTGCCACATTTTGGCCAAGTTCCCCCTTTTGGCATGAGCGTATGTGCACACACATGTATGCGTGTGCCTGGGTATGAGCATCTATGTCTGCCCAGAAGGAACACTGGATATTTTCTTCCTTGCCCATCCTTTGTGTTCTCTCAGCTTCCCGGATTCCCTCCCTTGGAGGTCCCAGGCAGGGAAGAAGAAGGTTAGGTCTGGTGTGGAGGCTTTCTGGGTCATGACCTTTTCAGAGCTGGTCTTGTTTATATTTTAGGCTGAGGCACAGGCTGGGCTGGCCTCCTACCTGCCTGTCCCCTCAGTCACCTTCCTAGGAGGTGCCCCAACCCCTCTGTGAGTAGGAGATGGTCCTGGCTGCTCAGGGCCTGGGCTCGGGTAAGGGCTACCTCCCTCCCCTCACTGGTGGACATGCTAGAGGCCAGCTAGCTTGTGGCCACATGGGAATATAGGATGGTAGTCCTGGAGGGAGAACAGGTCCATCTAGTCAGCATTAGCAGGCAGGGGCAGTGGCCAGCACCCACCAATGATGTTAGGCAAGAAATGCCCCTTGAGGCCAGGGGAGGAATGTGTGTGTCCCAGGTACATCAGAGGCCAAAATGCAGTCCTTCCTTTCCTCTTGACAGATTTGGTTTGAAAACCCCTCCACTACCAGCTAACGAGCCCTGCCCAGCCCAGACATCTAGGGCGCCGAAGCCACAGAGAGGACACTGAGGGATCCTGGGGGACACTGGAGGAGGGGTGCCACTGCATCCAAGCAGACTATGTACCCACTCCTAGCCCACTGCTTCCTTCTCACTTCCAGTCCCCCTCTCCCATCCCAGACCTCCCTCAGGGGGTTTCCAGCCTCTCCCCGCTATCATATCTATCCGCTGCAGGGAAGAGGCTGGAAGCTCTGGCAGAGTGAGAACAAGGCCAAGCTGTGCAGTCTGGGACAATCACTAATGCTTTCTGAATCTGTTTTTCTTATCTTTAAAATGGGAATGAGGAATATCCACACTCTGCTGATTGCCTTGCAGGGATATTAATGATGTATTGTTGAATCAGAACATCAGGATGGAGTACAGAATGCACTAAAGATGGTCTGGAAGGAGATCCAATAAACTGTAGACAGAAGCTACCCCTGGAGTATGCGAGTAGTGAGGGAAGGATCAAGTAATGGTGTGGGGGAGGAGAATTTTCACTTTTACTTAAGATGCCTTGATATTGCTTGAATCTTATTTCAGCAAGTGTGTGCCTCTTTTGCAATTAAAAAAACAACGTCGGGATCCCTGGGTGGCTCAGTTGTTTAGTGCCTGCCTTTGGCCCAGGGTGTGATCCTGAAGTCCCCGGATCGAGTCCCACGTCAGGCTCCAAAACATGGAAACTGTTTCTGCCTTTGCCTGTCTCTGCCTCTCTCTCTCTGTCTCTCTCATGAATAAATAAAAAATCTTAAAAAAAAAAAAAAGTAAAGCCTCTATCTTAAAGGGTGGTTGCCAGTTTTAAGTGTTAATGTGGATTTGTGGAGTGGATGAATGAATGAATGAAGGCCTAGTATGTATCTAGTACATGACCTGCTTCTCTTTTCCCCTCTGAGCCAGGATTCAGGTTCTCCCTCCTCGTTTATCCATTTTCTTACCCTGAAGGAGTTAAAACAGCAGCACTTCCAAAGCAGTGTAAAGGTAATCCAGGAGCCCCAGTGAGGCCAGTCTGGTGTGTGGAGTGGCATGGAGGCAGCATCCCTCTGCCTCTCTTCAGGCCCCAGCCCATAAGGCTCCTAGAGCCAGCCCATAGAGCCAGCCCACTCTGCTCAGCTCAGGACCTGCTTCCAATTACCCATGAAATCTGAGCTGGAAGAGACCTATTAAAGCCCCATTTAGTTTGATCCCTCTAGGGGCCAGGGATCTTTTCCGGCGACATTCCCCTCCTTGTCTGACTGGGACTCCAAGCCCTTTGGATGTTATCTCCTCCTGGGTCAATATGTTGACAACTCCAGCTGTGACCCAGGCCACCCTGGAGCCAGAACTGATCTAGGCCTGTTATGGTTCAGGGGGCCCCAAACCCAGCTCCCTTCCTACCTTAGGGCTCCCTGAGGTAGCAGGGCTGACCTACCTCAAGTCAGATCCCAGTCCAGCCTACACCACTGTTTCCATACTGGCCTGCAGGCAGCCCTATGGTTCCTCAGCCTACCTGGTCATCCCACAGGAAGCTCTTACTAGTAGGGGCCATCTTTCACATATTCCCTGTTGTGCCTGGTACAAGGTCCCATGTTTCATAACACTGCTTACATAAGAAATAATAAATAACGGTGATTAATGACCTCCTCCTCTCGTCCCTGGGCTCGCCTGGGTCAGACCTCCCAGGGAAGGCATACGAGCTCCAGGACGAGGAGGAGGAGGGGAGCCCAGGGTGTGTGGGGGCATTCACCTTCTCTCCCCATCCTCCTCAAGCACCTCTGCATGTCCTCTCCCATGGCCACTCCCTGGAGAGCCAGAGGAAGCCATCAGGAAAGGCAAGGTGGGGAACCCCAACTCCCTTAAGAAGTGGGATCTCCAGCACCAAGGCGGTGGTCCTAGGGCTCCTCTGACCCCACACCAGGGTACACTCTCAAGTCCAGTTGGCCTTAGTTCCCTGAGGACCACCCAGGTGAGGGTTCTTGCCCACGAGGCCTGTTGTCTCCCTGCCCCCACCCCAGTGCCGCTCCCAGTTTGAGCCTCTAAGCGCCTCTCCTCAGGGTGGGAGGCCCAGGGCTGCACTCCAGGGACCAGGCGGGACTGGGCTGGGCCTTTGGGGGTGGTCTGCTGGGAGAATTCTGGAAGCAGGGAGGGAGTGAGGAAACCACTTTGGGGCCAAGGCTGGGGCAGCCACTCAGAGGTGAGAGAAGAGCTGCAGGAAATGAGGGATAAGAAGGTTCCGGAGGAGGGAAGGATCTTGGGAGCAGTGCATGGAAGTGCGCCTGACTAATTCTCTCCCCAGATGCCCCTTTGGGCCCCCTCAGAGCTTCAGAGGAAAGAGCCAGGACAGTAGTGGGAGGGGGTACTTCTAAAGGTCACCCAGGCCAGTCTCCTGTCTGACCCACTCCACCAGCCCTGTGGGTGGATATGGATCCTGTTGTTGGGATCTTTGAGGGCATAGATTTTGTGGCCTTTGTCAGTGAAGGACACTCCCTCCTCAGGTCTAGCCTAAGCTCCCTTGCTGCACTTTAAACCTATATATCCTTGCTCTATCTAAAGTGGGTTCACATAATGGACTCTCCCTGAGCATTAACTTGCCACTTTGTTTTTTCAAAGTTCAGTCCCCAAAGGAAGGAGGACCATAGACCTGGCATTCTCTGGGTACTCTGGCCCCGTCACTGTCCCCATTGCCATGGCCCAGCATAGGCAGCTCCTCACAGGCCTAGGGTGGGGTCTTGTTGCCTGAGGACCAGGACAGAGCCATTATCTCCTGCTGAGCCCTCCTGGTCTTGGTTACCAGCTCAGTGGGGACAGAGATTCTGAAGGTTGGGGGCCTGGGGCCAGGTCCCCATAGCTGCTCATCACCACAACCCAGCAACCACACAGGGATTCTGCATGTTTCTCTGTCAAAAGTTAGGGTGCAGTGTACAGTCCCTCCTCATGTCCCCGGAGCTTGAGAGGTTTGTGGAAGGCAGACTGACTGGCCTTGGCCTTCTCCAGTACCCCTCGGCTGGACACGTACACCTACATGCATGTACAGATTTGCCTGTGTGTACAAGCACACCTTCAACATACAAAAGCACCCGGATAGGTTTACGTGTGCACACATGCTTTGGCACATGGGCTCAGGTTCACCTGCACAGGCTCATGTGCATATACATGTTCACACAGACATGACATGCCTGCTTTCACGCATGGAGAAGCACATTTATTCCTTCACATTTCCAAACACGCACATGGCTCCCTCCCTCTGCACGTGCTTGCTTATATCCTCCTCTGAATATATCTGGCTCATTCACACACAGTGACACACTCATTTGCACTTACATGGGACATTAATGAGAGGTTGTCAGCTCCTGCTTGGTCCAGATTAAGGACTATATGATGCAGGTTTTTCAGGGGTCATTGGCTCCAGAGATCAGGGACAGGATAGAGGAAGATCCCTGGGCCCCCAAGGGCCATTTCTCCTGTGCCTTTTCAAGAGCCAGCAGCCTCTGGGAGCCACAAAATGGAAGAATGGGTAGGATTTCACTAGGTGAGTGTGATGGTGTGTGTTCTAGGAAGAGGGGATGGCCTGAGCAGGGCTGTGGAGAGGGGAAGGTTCAGACCAAGTTTGGGGAAGGCTAAGGGACCACTTGAGTGGAGGATTCTGTGGCTGGGGGACTGGTGAATCCCAAAACGGCAAAAGGCTTTTTCACAATGGGGAGCCATAGAAAATGTTTGAGCAGGAGACTGTCAATACCAGAAACTTTTTTCCTCTTTGGGAAGCTTTATTCACTCAGTGCTCTGTGCTTCATTAGCACAGGAAATGAGTGATTCTGCCTGGAACAGTTGGGGAGGAGCAGGAGCTTCACATCTGACATGGGCCTCAAAGGATGGATAGGAATTGTCTAGACAGGGAAGGACAGAAAAAAGGACCCGGGCTGAACCTGGCAGCTAAGAGCTGGGGGAAGGATTGAGTTATTATTACATATGCCTTGTAGACCCAAACAAAGGTCCTCTTGAGGAGTGACCACAGTATCAACACCAGAATCAGGAGTGCAGGCCGACCTGACCCCAGGCAGGAGGGAAACTATTCTCCGGAAAAAGTGAGAGCCATAGGGTGAGGACAGAGGAGTTTCAGAGCCAGTTGGCCGGCCTTCCAGAGGGACCCACGCAGGTCTCATAGGCACCCAGATAAAGAAGGGTGGAGGTATGGGGACCACCTGGCCCTAATCCTTTGACATATCCCCTCGCTGGAAAACTTCACTAGAGATAGTCCATCCAGCCTCCACCCACCCATGACGCCACCATCCTGCTGAGATCCATCCCTGAGGGGCCCAGCACTCCAGACTCCAGCCCTACCACGGCCCCATCTCCAGCCTCCATCTCTTCAGAGCGGGAAACACCACATCCCAGCTGTCTGTCCCAAATCCACCTGGAGGCCAGCCAGCTTGGCTGAAGCCCAACTTAGTTAGGCCAGACCCTGGAGACACTGACGGGAAGAGGCCAGGACTAGAAGGAAGCTGCTGGGCCAAAGTCAGACCCTTTCCTGGGCCCAACCTTGTAGGGTTCCCCCTGGCACACCCATGGGCTTGCCCATTGTTATGTACTAATGAGCCTCTGGTCCCCTGAGCTGCAGACTCTAGGCCTTTCCATGCAATTCTAGAGATAAAGGTTACTGTGACAGCTGGTGGTTAGATTCCAACCTGATTGCCAAAGGCCCAGAGACCTGGCTTTGAGCCCCACTTGGGATAAAAGTGAATCTGTTGAGAACCCAGAATCCCATCTTGTAGGCTTGAAAGCTTGTCAACAGGCTTACGAAGAGACCCTCACTCTGAGAACAACCCCCTTCTTCCTGCCGTCCCATCCTTGGCAGCACAAGGCTGGCAACAGCAACAGTATCCCTTGTCAAGGCCTGTGGCCACTGCCACCACTGCCAAAGGCAAAAGGTGCATGGGGGCCTAGGGCTGCCACAGTCTCCCTGATTCACCCGCTCATCCTTCAGACACCAGGTCCACTGGCCCCCCAGCCTCTGGACTGGCTCCTCTTTCCCTTCCCCTCTGGTTTATTCTCTACCCATTCGTCTCCCAGCCAGGGAGACACTCTTCTGCTGCCCATGGCAACTGGGTACCACAATTTGTTTGCCACATTCCATGCAAACTCCCTCTTTGTCCCCTTTGCCTACCAGAGAGAAGAGCCAGAGAAACCCAGAGTCAGGGCAGGATAAAGACAGCCAGAGGACACAGCATCTGAGAGCCAGTCCCCAAGGACACCTGGGGTAGGGGGGAATGGAGACACAGAAGGGGATGGTGAGACAGAGGCCTAGGGGCAGGGACTCTTGCTGAACAGTACCACATGAGGAACAGCTTGGGTGCTCCTGTAGGGACCCTTCAGCAGCAAAGGGGAGCGTTAAAGGTGTGATTTTGCAGTTAGGCACGTTGGTCTGCCTCTTATAGGCTGTGTGACCTAGGGCAAGTGCCTTCACCTCTCTGTGTTTGGGTTTCCTCAGGGAAAATGGGCCTGTTATACTTGCTATTCTTGTGAGATGTGAATAAGTTAACATTTGCAGTGTGTGCTGCAGAATTCCTGGTACCTAATAAGCAAGCTCTAGATTCAGCTATTATTACTCTTATTTTCTGAGCTTTGATTTTCATTTATGTCAGAGGGAGATGATAGCTCAAGCACCCCAGTCGCAGTGGGGAGCGAGTGGTGCATTCAGTAGATGTCAACACAGGGTCCCACTCCTAGCTTGCCTGCCCCAGGCCAGGACCCACTCTAGGTCCCAGCCGCACACCACACC